TAGCCAAGATTTGGAAGTAGCCCAACTGTCCATCAGTAGATGAGTGGATAAAAAATCCATGGTACATTTATGTAATGGAATACTACTCAGCCATAAAAAAGAAGGAAATCTTACCTTTTGCCACAGCGTGGATGGACCTGGACAGTATTTTTTAAAAAGATTTTATTTATTTATTTTCAGAGAGAGGGGGAGGGAGAGAGAAAAAGAGAGAGAGAAACATCAATGTGTGGTTGCTTCTCACATGCCCCCTACTGGGGACCTGGCCCACAACCCGGGCATGTGCCCTGACTAGGAAACAAACCAGCAGCCCTTTGGTTTGCAGGCCAGCACTGAATCCACTGAGCCACACCAGCCGGGATGGACCTGAACAGTATTAAACTAAGTGAAATAAGCCAGTCAGAGAAAGACAAATACCATATGATTTCACTTATATGTAAAATCTAGTGAACATAATAAACTAACAAACAAAATAGAAACAGACTCATAGATAAAAAGAACAGACTGACAGCTTTCAGAGGGGAAGGGGTTAAGGGGCTCAGTGAAAAAGGTGAAGAAATTAACCAAACAACAAGAACAACTCATAGACACAGAAAGTATGACGATTACCGGAGGCGAAGAGGGGTGGATGGAGATTGAAGAGGGTAAAGGGGGATAAATGGTGATGGAAGGAGACTTGACTTGGGATGGCGAACACACAATACAATATACACAATGCATTATTGAACTGTACACCTGCAACCTACATAATTTTATTAACCAATGTCACCTGAATTAATTCAATAAAAAGTGCTAATTAAAAATACATATTTTTGTATGTTAAAAAGACATAGTCACAAAACAACACAACAGATTTTACAAGATTATATATGTATATATATAACAAGTAACAGATACCAAATATGTTAAAGAAGGTTCCTGTGAAGGAGATGAAAGGGGTAAGGAAATTAAGGAAGAAAAAATAAAATAATTAAAACAAGAGAGAAGCTTGCAGAGACTGACAATGGCAATTTGCCTTAAACAGAGGAATATGTTTAATTCAGTTCTATGCACTTAAATTCACATTTTGAAAGTATATGTATGTGTATATGTATTATATATAAATGTCTAAAAGGGTATACACTAAAATGTTAGTAGAAGTTATCTCTGGGAGTAGTGTGAAAGGTGGATCCTTTTTTTCAACACTGAATAAATACTGTGTAATAAGTAAAATGCATTTTTATGCTTCAAAAATTCAGCTAAATACTCATAACTGCTTTCTTGTTGTTGGATAAATGTACAATTAATTACCTACTGAATTAAGCTGCCTGTGTGGTCACAGTCATTTTATTGTTTTTCCAGAATGTTCCAAAATAGCTCTGGAACAAGACCAGTGGGACCACCAGATAGCTATATGGCCTCACCCTTCTTCACATGCAAATGAAGACCAAGCCTCCGATGGGATCCAGCTTCAGCAGAAGCCTCTGCGGGGCCCAGGATAACAAGGCCCTCTTCTTCCTGACTAGAGAAAGGAAGGGCAGCCCCCATAGCCCTCTCTCAGAGCCAGCTCACGACAGCCTCTGAAAAACCGCCTTGGGCAGCAGTTGCCAAAGACAAAAGGTTCCACCTCAAGGTGGAAACTCTATTTACAGCTTTGTAGACATAGGTGTCCCTCCATGTGACTCAAGACCTACAGTGAAGAAACTGGGTTTGGCCAGGAATAGCTCAGAGGCCTTCTCCTCAGAAGCCAGCTCTTGAGGCCTTCAGCGTATGTTCTAACTATATTTGGCAATGAAAACCAAAGAGGTCAGTGACTTAGCTCAACGGGGAGGAAAAAAGACTGTGCCTGATTTATAATCCCTTCTTCAAACAAGGACCAAGAATTTTAAAACTCACTTCATTTATTTATTTTGCCCTCACTGGGCATACCGCTGAAGCAGTTCTTCCCAGTTCAATCAGCCTCATGCAAATCCTTCAGAACCACAGGTATAAATCACCTACCCAAGCCATCCCAGGATTAGAGGACGTCTGGGGACATCTGGGGACATCTGACTTGAGAATCCAAATGTTAAAATTATCCCACTTTACTCTCTATGTCTTCAACACTAAAATAGCCCATAGTCCTTCTTCGGTACAAACCCTAACTCCTGCACGTATTACTCACTGTGTGACCTTGCCTAAGTTACTCTATGTCTCTGAGGTTCAGCTTCCTTATCTACAAGCAGAGATAACACCTACTTCACAAGGCTGCTGAATAATTAAATGAGGTAAGGTGTATAAAGTGGCCAGGAGAATATCTGACACAAAACAGGTGCTTAAAAAAACATAGTTTTATCCCCCCCTACCCCCAATCACTCCCTTTCACCCTTAGCTGTTCAGCCAAGGTGTTGGCTTTTCAAGAAATCTCCTGGTTCCCTGCTTGATTACAAATGGATGGTACCATTCCCACAGTCAGCAACAGTAGCTAAAGATAAAAGCTGTGACTACTCCTTAGCCGCAGACAGGTCGAATCAGCTCACAAATGACTCATCACTGTTGATAAATGATGTGTTCTTGGCATCAGGAGGCCTTATCCTGACAGGCTTCAACACCTTATGGAAAAAACTTAGAAGGTAGGTTGCATGGCTCACAGAGCATGTCCCCAGGGTTGATGGTGACCTTAAGTCAATCCTGAACTTGTACCAGTCTGATCTTAAGGTCTCTGTCTCTTCAGACATGTCTCCAATCACAGGATTTTCAGTTGAAAAGGACTCCAGCTAAGCAGCTGACTCTTTCATCTCAGAGCTAAACCACCTCTTTCACTCGCCTTGGACTCCCTGAAGGGAGTCTTATGACTCCCTGGGCAGAAGGCTAGATGCCTGTTCCCTGCTCAGAACAGCCCTAAGCTAGTGCCCAACCTGCCTCTGGCAGCTTTTTCTGCCGGCTGAAGCTCTGCCAGGATGAGGTTTGGCTGAAGGGCCCTGTGGCTATGGGACAAACATTGGCTCAAGGAAAAGGTTGAGTATTTAATCCCAATCCACTGTCTGTGAGGCTGAAGTGTCTGCTGTTCTCTGCAGTTTCTGTAGCCCCCTTCAGACCACCCAGAACCACTCACTGGCACAGAAGTCCCATGACTGCACTTGTTAGTTACTTTTCCATTCTTATGTGCCCTGTACCTTTTGCAGTGCCTGACACAGAATTCCCTCTAAGTGAATATTTATTAAGACACCCTTGAATGTCACCCTGGCTGGTGTGGCTTAGTGGATTGAGCATCAGCCTGCAAACCAAAGGTTCGCTGATTTCATTTCTGGTCAGGGCACATGCCTGGGTTGTAGGTTGGTGGGTGTTTCCCTCTTTCTCTCTTTCTTCATCCCTTCCCCTCTCTCTAAAAATAAATAAAGTCTTTAAAACAAATAAAAACCAAAAGGCCCTTGAAGACCTAAAAGTTCTGTTGCTGTATTTGTAGCCTCCTGAATTCTAATGAACCTCACAAAATTTAGATCAATAGGACAATGAACTATATGGAGAATGACACTGTCCACATCCAGGCACCCAGAACTGAGAACTTGTCTCAATTTCTTAAGACTACTTTAGGAAATTCCATATGCTGAGATGTACTTTTCAACTGAAACTGCTTTCAGAAGCAGGTTGGACCCCATACCCAGGCCTTTTCTGAAAGGAACTATCCTAGGCCCTCAGAAGGGGCCTTGTGATACATGAATACAATTGATACAAAAGGCCCAGGAGAAGATTGGGTGCCCTGGAAACATTTCCATTCTCCAAATTCACCCTCAGATTTTCTCTACCAGGAAGTTTTCTGAGATCACCTATAAGCACCAACATGGCATGTCAGCCATGCCTTGAAGTCTAAAGGCCAGGGAAACTTTCTGGAAAGGAAAAAAATTAGTCTCCATCGTGGGTCTTCAGGATATTAGATGAGATAAATGAAGCAGGAAAATAAAAATCAGGGGCGCCTGCCCTTTCCTTCCCCTTCTATCCAGTTCCCATGTTCCCTGCCCTTCTAGTCACTCCTTGAGGCTTAGCGTCCAGCGTCTACCACCGGAACTGGGGTCAACCTTCTAAGATGATAAAGCATAAAGAAAGCAAGCAAGAGGAAGGAAGGATGGAGAGAAGTGGAGAAAAAAATGTGAAAAGGGCTTGAGAAGGAGGAAGGAAGAGGAGAGCAGCAAGGGGAGGCGGAACAATGAAGGTCTGAGGCTGTCTGCGGCGCACGGTTCCGCCGGCACGTCCGTCCCCCGTGCCTCCGGCCAGCAGCTGCACACTGCGCAGCGTGTGGGCGCTGAGTCACGGCCCCAGAACCGTGAGCTCCAGTGCCGGGCTTGGGGGCCGTCCCTGGTTGGCATCTGCAAACTGTTTTTTTTTTTTTTTTCCTTTCCTCTTTCATTAAGGTTGTGTGCTGACTCCCACGTAGGAGAGCTTACTACCCGCACGTACTGCCGGTCGGCTTTCGCTCTCGTCCAAGGTGGCCGGCGGGGGGCGCCGCAGCCTCGCTTATGAGCCCGCGCGCGCTAGGGCACCGGCCGGGAGAGGACTGAGGTTTCTTGCCTGTTTGCCGGTTCCCGGGAGGAGTCCGAGCATTTTTCTGTAGTAGCTTCTAACTTGAACACCGCGGCAACTAGGGTAACTCCTCACTTAGAAGGCCCCAGAGACCACCCCCAAATAGCACTCCGAGGCGTACTTTAGTGTAGGGTTTCGTGCGCAACTCCATGAAATCTGGGACTTTTGTGCAAACCGGAGAATCCAGGTTCGCCCTGGACTGGAGCTCACCCTATTCCACCCGGCCCAGCCACCACTAGAGGCTATACCTCCGGCGTCTCGGCGAAGCCTTGACCCGTTTCTGCGACGTTCCGCCCTCCCCGCAGGGAGATCGTTACTCCGGACAGCTCGGCGGGCGCGGAGAGAGGCCAGCCAGCACCCCAACCCGCACAACTGTCCCACCTCCCAGTCCAGTCAGCGGGACCCGAAGGCTCCTGGGCCGTCCAGGACCAGGGGCACCCTCCCTCCCAAGACTCGTGACCCGAGAATGAATCAGCATCGAGGCAGTTTATTGGTTTGCTATTTCGCATATCACTCATTTTAGGTAAATAGATTATACATAGACACAGCGTTTCCTTCTTCCACAAGAGGTAATAAGTCTCTTTCATACACACAAACTTTCACACATTCCACGCAGCAATGTTACACCTCGCTGAGACATTCACGAATTAAAATACTCAGGGGAACAATACACTTGCTTTAAAATGCCCTTAATACAATATATAACGTACAAAAATATCTCTATATTTGAAGTTACAAAAAAATCTCGACAGCAAGAAACTTAAATATTGATAGTTACCTCTGTATAGACAACACGCATTGCACTTTTCCTCTCTTGGTTTTGGAAGGTTCAAGTAATAGTGGGGGCTTGCGCCCCGGAGGGATGGTACCCCGTGAGAAATCAGTTGGGGGAAGGCATGGCAGTGGCTCAGACCCTTGCCCCGGGGGTCTCAGTATTTAATTCTCAGCGCCTCCTCTCCGTGAGTGCTGCAGACATTCCCTGGGATTCCTCTGCGCACCTCCCCTCCTCCCCCGGGACACCCGGGCCCGGTTAGGGCGAAAGGAACGCCGCCTCTGAGGAGGAGGGACCCGTGCAAGGCCAGGGCTCGCTGCTGAACTGTGCCTCCCGAACTCCCGTTCTACGCCCGGCTGATTAAGTCGCGTCCCCAAAGGCTGAGAGGCTCCGCTGCAGGGAGCCCTCCGCCCCAGGAGGCGCCATCCAGATGCAAACGGGACCGATCGCTCTGCCACAGGGGCCTAAATCCTAAAGAGGGAGACGAGCACTTGATTCGAGCGGGAGGCTGGAGCCAGCTGTGCCTGTGGCTCCGGGGACAACACAGTCCAGCTCCGGCCGGCCTCGGGCAGGGAGCGCCGGCGCCGGCGGCCGTAGCCCTGAGGGCTGATTTTGTTCTGGGGGGCGACGCCGTCCTTATCCTTGTCTGTGAACTGGTAGATCTGATGCGCCAGCTTCTGCACCGTGCATGTCCCGAAGCGACAGCCGGAGCTCCGCACACCCTGGAATTTGTTCATACTCTGGCGGTAGCGTTTTACTCGGATTCGGGCGGCGTCCGGACTGCAGGAGAGGGAAAGGAAGGTATCATGAGAGCCCCATCAAGCAGGGATTGGGCCCCAGCCACCAGGAACGGGCGCATTCTAGGACCAAAGGGGGCTGGAAACAGCTACTGCTTTCTGAACTGCCACACAGCCCCGACGACCCCCTGGGCCATGGCAGTGGGGGACAGCTCGCTCGCCCAACCCACGACGGAGGCGCCGAACATAGTTACCTGGCCTGGGTGCTGCGTGAGGCCCCCTTCACGTCCTGGGGCTGAATGATTGTCTGGGCAGGCCCGGCCTGCACGCTGGCGAGCCCGGTGGGGTAGCTGCTGGACAGCTTAAGTTCCCTCTTCCCACGACTTAGCGCCCACTTATTCCATCTGGAAAACACAAATATATTCGGTTCGAATGGATCCAGGGGAGAGTCCGGCCCGTCGCTGTTCGCGTTCACTTCTAACCCCTCAGGATTACTCGCCACTTTCCCTGTCTTCCAGGTAAAAGGACTGGAAAATTCTGCCCGCGACTCACTTCTTTCGGAACTCTGACGCCACGTCGAGCCTTGCAGTATCTGCGCCTAGGAAGGCGAGCGAGCCTAAGCACAGGAGGGCGACGGGAGCCAGCTTCATCCTGGCGGCGATGCGCAAACCCTTGGGAAGGAGAGAAAGGAGCGTGAGCTCCGGGCCCTGCCGCCGCCCTGGCGGGGCACCGAGAGCTGAGGGGGGCTTGGACGCGGGCAGGCTCAACACTGGTCTGCCCCGCCCAGCCGCTTATCTCCCCGGGGCGCAGAGAGGCGCCAGCGGCATTTGCACCGGGACCCACAGGGAAGGCCGCTGCTTAGTGCCAGGTCCCCTGCTCAACTTCTCAGAATTTGGTTGACAGAGCAGAGGGGGCTGGAGTTCCAGTTGTGTATAAGAGCTGGGCCCAGGATGTGAGACGCACCCCTTAAAGGACCCCTCACCCAGCGCTCCCAATCTCCTCCCTGGGCAAGGTCCCCCTCTTTACACGCCCCCCCCCCCACAGCACCTACCTGTCGAGGGGGGCGATCTGTCAAGATCTGGGAGGAAAAAGTTCCGAGACGGCACTCTGGCAGAGGCAAAACCCTACAGCCCAAGCTGCGGTGAGAAAGCAGAGGTGGTAAGGCTCCAGCTGTTTAGCCTAGTGTCACTCAGAAACCACTGAGTGGCTAGCTCTGGTTCTCCTGTTTTATAGGGGAACGAGAGCTATAAGGGGGCGGGGCCTGGGCTGCTCTCCCCCCTCCCTTTCTTCCCTCCGGCATGCGCGCTTCTGCACTCGGGCGTGCTCTTTGCTTGTCTATGGGTGTTGGGTTTGTTTAGGGGTGGGGGTGTCCCTTCTGCTCAGAGGGCTTAGGGATGAGCCCTGGGAGACTGGTACAGGAACTTCCACAGTCTTGACTCTGGGCACAGAGTTCACACTGTAAGTCTGGCCAAAGTAGGGCCCGTACAACCTCTTGGGGTCCTTACCCAGTATCTATGCAGCCTAGAGTGCGAGGCCTCCTGGCATGGAAAGTCAAGAGCCAGAGTGGGCACCATGCGGGTGGGCCAAACTCCGGCCCTCGGGAGCAGCGGCCTCGAGTGGACCGCGCCCTCTGCCGGCTCCGAGCCTGAGCTGGCTGCGACCCCTGACTCCGTCCGGACCCGGCACTAAACGCAGCCTGGAGGAGCGGGGCTCGCCAACACCTCCTCCCACCCCTCTACTCCCACCCTCGAGAGCAGCGGAGACTATGGGGTTTTGGAATGGGCTGGTAAGATTTCACAATAAGGGAAAGGCTCAGAAAGGCTAATCTGTAAATTGGGATTTGGAGGAGGGGGTATTTTAAATTTCAGAATTTGCGTGCCCATTTGGAAATACAGGAATAACCAAAATTAGGAAGAAAGATATCCGTTTTGGCTTTTTCCCCCTCGTAGTCCAATCATGCCTTATAAGGTTACAACCTGAGTTTGCACCTTCATTCAGCCATTCTAAACGTGAGGACTCACTGCCAGGGAGTACACTAATGCTTCACCTATGTTAATGGCTTTACAGTTTACAAAGCACAGCCACATCCTGATCTCCTTTGATCCCCACGCCTGCCCTTGCGTTACGAAGGAAGGTAACATTACTTTTCTTATTTCACTAAGTGGAAAACTGAAGTTCAGAGAGAGAATGCATTTGCCCAAAGTCGCACCAAAGGTAGTAAGCAGTCGAGTCCTAACTCGGCCCTCCCCCCCGCAAGCAAGCAGGGCAGACTGGGGCGCAGCGTGGATTTTTCTAAGCTAGGGTCATCATCTCGTCAAAGGGTAGAGAAGAGTGCTAGCCCCCGCCCAAGTATTTATGCGTCTTCATGATGAATCACCCCCAAACACGTTTGTCACCCCTTTGTACTCTTCCATCACTGCTTCTTGACTCCACTTTCTTACTTGTCTTTTGGGGACCAAACCGGGGAGGGAACTCAGCCCTGAAAAGCTCCCTATTTCTTGAGTGCGGGCCTCTGGTGTCCTGTTTCCTACTACCCCAGAGCCAAGTTCTAGCCCAGCGACTAGACTGGGAGGCCGAGGGCGCGAGACCACTAGGACTCACCGGATTGCAATTCGCTGTATGAATGTGGCAAGTCACGTCCCTCCTCTAGTTTCCCAATCTATAATATGCCCCCAGCAGATCTGGCTTCCTACCTGGTTTGCCATACTGGTTCTGCCGTACAGTGAAAAGGCGGCTGGGCGCTGGGTCGCGCGGACCTTGCCTTGTCCGGGCCGCCCACTGCTGGCTCAGCCGCCTTTTCACGCTCAGGACCGAACAGTGGACATTGCACCTGGGGAAGGCAAGGGCGTGCCCAAGTAATGTATTCTGAGGAGTCTTCCCCGAGTCGCCTGAGCGGACCTGAGTTCCAGCCGAGGGCAAGGGACAGATTCCTGGTTCTGGCTCCGGTAGGAGCCCGAGGGTCAGAGCGGTGCAGCGCAGCCGGGCAGTCGCGGCAGCAGACACGGACAGGCGGTCCTGCCGCTAGCCTGTCCACACCGCAGACAGCACGTATTACTGCGCTTCTGCCATGTTTCGAGTACCCTCCCCACCCTGTTTTGTGTTTCTTGCTTGTCTACCATTTCCCATCTCTTCCTTTCCGTTCGTTCCCTGCGAGTCGAGCTCTTCGCACAGAACCTGTGCGAAGGGCAGGCTGTCTGTCTTGTCTGAGAGCACGACACAATTTGTCTGCAACCTATTAGTCCCCAGCTTCCAGCTGGGTCCGCGCCAAAACAGATTTTACTTTCATTTCCCCGCGTGCCTCGGACTGCTGGGGAAGTCAAGAACAGCTGGGCGCCCTCCCCCAGCCAGGGACAGTCGGGTGGTCTGCACTCACTCCTCCCACTTCCCACCAGCCCTGGGGAGTTCGGTCTGCAGAGGACTCTGCTGCAGTGCCTCGTTGCCTCCTGTGTCCTTTAGGAAAGCCCCTGATCCCATGAAGGGAAAACAGCTCTAGCTCCAGCTGCAGGATCTCAAAGCATGCTCTAGGTGCAAACTTCGCTCAGAGGTTTGGGCGGCTTCAACAAGCAAAGCAAACCCCGGAGTGGACACTCGGCTCTGCTCCGCCCGACTCCAGTGCCTACGCCAGCAGCGTGGTCGTGGTGCCAGAAAGTCCCACCTGAGAGCCTTGGCACGCTTCTTATCAGCCCAGGTGTGCGGTGTACCTCTGGCACGTAGAGATCTGGCGCTTGAGAACTTTGCCAAATCTTTCTTTATAGTTCTGGATTGCGGGGGGGGGGGGGGGGGGGGGGGGGGCGGGGGGCGGGGGGTGTGAACGCGGGTTCGCTTACTTAATCATCGTTGAAGAAAAAAGGTCACTAGAATGCCTTCTCAATTAAGTGATCAGATCTAGAAGGAAATACCACAGCGGGAGCTCTGCTTCTAGTGATTTGTTAACGTGGAGTTTCTTCCATCCAAGTTACAGCGATTATAGGTTCACGTGGAGTACAAGCAAGGAAGGAAGCGAAGGAAGAAACATCTTCAAAATCTCACTGGCAAGAGGGGAGGGGGGTTTCTGGCTAATAAAGACCCAAATGTTTTGTGCCCAAGAATTTTTAAAGGGTCAGACTGTAAATAAACCCCAAAGCACTGTAATAAATGTGTGTATCCTGATATATGTACATACAAATATGCTGAAGGCTTGTTGTATAATGGTGTTTTAATTTTTTCTTCACATTCCAGCTGAATTAGTTTGAGGCCCTAAAACCAATTCTTATTCTTAGTAAAATTTGGGGTTTTAAAAAATGTGTGGTCATGGCTTCTCATCTAATACTGGACACAGTCCCTAAAACCAGTGTGACCACACTCAGATCATGCAGAAAACTAATGAGAAGTAATAAATAATGTTAATGACATTAATAAGAATAACTACAAGTGAGTAGCTAAGTGCATTGTGTAATTATTTCAGATGTTTTTTTTTCCAAACAGAAAATTTTATCATGTATTTATTATTCTTATAGTTCAGAATGCTTCTGCTAACCTGAGGGCTTTTTACCAAGTTCATTTAAAAACAAGGTTCAAGAAGTATCCCAGTGTCATAACACAAAGAGAAAGGACAGAATCAGCCTTGTGGATTTGCTCACTCACAGGGAAAAGTAAAGAAGGATGCAAGTCTCAGGGCAATTTTTTTTTGGGGGGGGGCATCTTTGACTTTTCCAAGGAGCTAATAAAATATAAGTCCTTTCCAGAAAAATGCACATAAACATATAGCAATTTAAGTATAAAATAGGCATACAGTTTCAGGGTTTTGACCAAGTTAAGAATGCTAACACAGAATAAAAAGCACTGTTTCTACAGCATTAATTGGAGCAGTGGAGGGAAAGAACAGTTAGCATCTCTCTTAGGACATACTTTTTTCCAGGGCATCAGCCTAAGAAAAGGTAATTTGCTGCTTCATTTTTGTGCTTCTGCATGAAACAGATGGACAGACATGTGATAAAGCCAGAATACAAACCTGTCTAAAGGTGAAAGAATGTAAGTCACTATAGGACAAATGAAAGAACACACAAAGAAGATGGTTAACATACAGAAGCTTGTTATACTAATAGTTATAACAGAACAACATGAAATGACCAAGATAAATTTACTATTGATGGAACAATGAATGACATTCATTCATAAATGGATTATAAAAGAGATGATTGGATCACTTGGGGTCATCCCTAAACTGTGAGAATGGCTACCTGCCTCCAGATGGGGATCCTGTACTATCAGATTAGAACCATTGAAATGAAGCAATTCTCAAATATGGGCCTATATAACTTGAAAGTTTATTTATTCCTTCAACAAATATTTACTGAGCATGTATTACATGCCTAGCTCTGTGCTAAGTACGGGGCACACAGTAATCATGAATGTAAATATCATTCTCGCCCTCTACAAGCTTATAGCATGGTGATGTAGCCATTCATAAACAAATTTTCATAGGAATAAATATTTGGTTATAAACTGTGGAAAGATTTCTGAAAGATAAGCAAGACTAGGGGGATCTAATATTCCAAATGGAAAAAATGGCATGTACATTAGAGAAAATGAAAGGAGTCCATTGTAGTTGGAATGTATCAAGTGATGAAGAGTGACATGAAATGAAATTAAATAGGTCATCAGGATCAGAGTAAATAAGGCCTTTTGGGATGTACATAATAAAGTTTTACACTTCATTTATGATGAAGTGGCAAGCTTTTGACAGGCCTGAAGAGGAGGGAGACATGACCTGATATACGTTTATTAAAAGATCATTTTGGTTATTGAAGGTGGTTGGATGTGGTGGATGGATTAGGGAGGAACAAGAAGGGAAGCAGTGGTGGTGCCCTGTAGAGACTGGAGAAGGCTTAGTCCCTTCATAATCTCTATTAATCTACCTGTAAACACACACACACACACACACACTACCCTAAGGTTCACCACAAGAGCGAGTTTGCACCACAGACATGCACCCTCCCTATTTAGTTGCACAAGGCCTCACACTTGATAATGCTCTGCTTGTCACTGTTTTTTTTTTTTTAAGATTTTATTTATTCTTAGAGAGAGGGGAAGGGAGGGAGAAAAAGAGGGAGAGAAACATCAATGTGTGAGAGAAATATCAACTGGCTGCCTGTTGCACACTCCCAACTAGGGACCTGGACAGCAACCCAGGTGTGTGCCCTGACCAGGAATCAA